CCCCCCCCCGCCAAGGTCTAAGGTTTAAGAATGAGGCTGCCTTCCCCCTCCTCAGATTCTCAACCAAAGATGAGCCGAAGGTTGCAGAGACTGGGGCAGGGCTAATTGAGGGCATGGAGAGGAAAGCACGGGGCATCTGGTCCCTCTCATCACACGCTCAGCTGCTTAAGGACTGTGATGCGCCCAGAGCTCCATTCTGACCCTGCTGGCCAGTAAAAACAAGAGATTTTAATCCAGGAGCATTTGCATGTAGAACTTCCCTTTTCCTAGAATCATTGAAAATGTCTGACTTAGAATTAAAAGCAAACTAGTTGGCCTCTTTTGTGCCTTAGAATACATTTTGCAGACGACAGTTCATGCATAATATCTTTTCAAAATGAACCGATCTGGTTCTTAGTCTGATTTAGGAATGTTTTCTCAGTGTCGATTACGGAGACATCAGAATTTGGGCTTGTCAGGAGAAGCACACTGACAAAGCTAGCTGGCGATGTAAAGACGTCCATTTAAGAATAAATGTCAGAGGGGAAAGTGAGTGTTTCCTAGGCAACATTTGAGACAATTTATCCTAAACGAGTTAAAAACTAACCCTCCCCTGCTTTCTTAAGGAGGCACACTTTGTCTTTTTTCCTCCATTTGTTAATTGAATAGAAACAAGCCCAGGCTATAGGAAAGCAGCAGTGGTCCTCAGCAGTTGAAAGAGTGATCCATGAAACAGCAAAGGGAGAAAGCCAGATGGGAGGTTTCTCTCCAGCTCATGATTCATCCCACTTCCTTCCTTCTCCCCTGGCCCCAGGAGGATGTTGCTGTGGCCGCCGCGGTTTTGGAGTCCCTGCTAAAGCTGGCCCTGCTGACTGGCCTGACCATCACCGTTTTTGGCTTTGCCTATTCTCAGCTGGTTTTGGACATCTATGGAGGGGCCATGCTTAGCTCAGGATCAGGTATGCACAAGAGTTTTTTTTCCAGATCTGTTCTAATTTCCCACCCGAAGGAGAGGAGTCATGAAATTCAGATACGGTTGACGTATGTGTCTATGTAGGGAAGATTGCCAGTGGCTGGGGCACCTGAGGTCACACCAGCTCAGGGTGCATTTGGGGCTCTGGCACCAGGTTGATCAGTCCCCACAACCTCACTTGGAGAAGTTGTTAGGAATCCCTGGCTTTGCTTTCAGACCTCAAATGTGTTTTGCCAAGTGCTTCCCTGTGTTCCCTGTAGGGTAAGTGAGAAAGGCAGAGAGCAGGCTCTAATGAGTCTCTGCTTGGTACTAAACACATCTGAAGACAGTAAGTGCCACATAAATCTCACGGCCTGATGCATAAAAGCCTCTGAAGGAAAACCCAGAGCCATTTGCAGAGAATGAAATTGATCTCAGCAAATAAAATGGTATATTTAATCCAGTGACTCTTGGGTTTTGAAAGAGAAAAGTATCGAGTGTGTCTAACTTGGAAACACCTGGTGCCCAGGCCACTGAGTGTCTCACAGCATCGCTAGGCCCTGGGGACTTTACTAGTTTCAAGATGCACTGGGTCACGGACTAGCAATCCATTTACAGTGTTTCCTCTTGGGTTGTGCAAAGATGTTTTTAATTCCTCACATCACTAGACAAGATCCTTGAAGACTTTTTTCTGCTGCCCTGTCTCAAATGTAAAGGGCCCTTTCAGATGCCATTCTGCAAGGTCACTGGCATGTTTTTGTCTCCACTATAATGGGCCCAAACATTTAGTATTAGGAAAAGAAGGGCCGAGTTTCTACACAAGAACAAAGGTCATTAGGTTTGGACAAACAGCTGCTGTGAAACCAATGATGTGGTTTGTAGCGCCCTGGGTCAGGCAACTGTAGGAAGCCACCAGCAAGTCAGTGCACAGAGAGCAAGACAAGCTATCTCACAGCAGCTCTGCCCGTCTAGAAAGGTAATCACCAAGGAGCAGCCTTTGTAGTGCGGCCACAGGCCAGTGCCACAAGGAGAGGGCTGTCCCATCAACGTAGTCTTCACTTGCCTGAGTCATTGATCATTGAAGATACACCAAACCATTGTCATTGTGTGACCCTTTTACTCAAGTGAGATGCTGGTTCCAGTCTTGAGCACTGATGATAGATTTGTCAGCTAAAAGGGTCAGTGTTAGTTGATAAATGAAGGTAATGAATTCTGTCTCTGATGTTTTATGTCAAAGTCATTAATCATTTTAGACTCAATAAGATATTCTCTTGGTCTCATCTTCAGAGAGAGAAGAATCTTGAGAGTGATCTGGTTCCTCAGTCTCTGAAAAGGATGAATGGTTTGCTGTAGTCACTGCAGCATCTTTAGGACCCTTGTCGTCTCTTGCCTGGCCCAGGCCTCCATCAACATCCCTGCCCCAGCAAGGTCTTCCAGCATCTGTCTCCTCATCACCGCTCCCTCTCATTTTGACCACATTTCCAGCTGTGTGTGCCTTCTGGGAGGGTGAGTGTGTCTCCCCAGGGTGCCTGCTGGCTTTCCTTTCCTGTCTCCACACCACCCCTCTTCTCCTTGCCCTCTTCCCAACTCTCCGGACTAGTGCTGCAAATCCAAATGCCTTTCTAGTGCCAATGATATTAACACGGCTGCTCTCTACCCCAATACGCCTCGCCACAGTCTTTTTTTTGTTCCCTTAAATACTCACAGAACATTGACTTTCTCCAGAAAGTCTTACTGAATCAGAAAAGAATGAGGAACTTTCCATGGCTCAGCCCAACCACTTAGTTTTGAAAGTGGAACTTGCAACGCTGCTGTCCTCAGTTGCCCCAGTTGCATGTTGGTCTTTGTCTTCACCCATGAAGTGGACTCACCTGTGACCAGACCTGCAGTGGCCTCTTTAAAGACCTCTGTACTGTTTTCCTAACGTGGGACTTGGCCGCAGGAGACTTTCATGGAGCACTGAGGGTTTGCTTTGCAGTACTTGGGCTCAGCCCTGTGTGTAATTAGGGGCTGTGGAAGTGGTCTGAGACTTTGATCAGACATTTTCCTCATATCTAGCTTTTCCATCCTAAAGGAAAATACAAACATTCAATGAACTTACCTGAGACTTCTCACATTCATCTCTTAGGTGCTTCTCTCTTGCCCTTTCTTTTACTTTTTTTTTTTCTGGAGAAGGAAGAGCTTATTATTTGCAGCCAGTAAGGAGAACACTTGCTTTCCTAAAGCAGTGTCTCCTCTTTCACTTTTTAAAAATCTTTTTTTCTTCTCAGGCCCCTAATATTAGTTTCTTAGGGCTGGGATCACAG